ACAGAGGCCTTGCCTGTTTTGGAATATGGAGTTCTCAGCAGCACACACACCTGGAAAACTTGAGGAGAGTTGAGTAGACACAAGATAGCAACTTACATGGAACATCAATCACAGCCGAAATCAAAGTAAAACAGAGGAGAAAAATCAGCAAAGGGCTCACAGGTATCTCATTTTCACTCTTTTATAAGCCCACTTTTTTAAAATTAAGCAAGATTTTTCTATGCAGTGTAAGAACAAAAGGAATCTAAAATTGACCTTTTTAAACACATATTCAGGCAGGCAACTGAAAATTCAGCCCCTGGCCTGGTTCTGTTAATTGGGTTAGAGTCCTTGATGATTATTGTCTAGAAATAAGTATATTAAAATATTTATCCCAGCCTTTCTTTTTCACTCAAGGAGGCTTACAAACCCAAATTTAAGACATCCATGGTGCAATTTGAAACACTGGCATTTGAAAGCACCCCTTGAATTAAATTCCTATATTCTCTTTGAACTTCAGGGCATTTTAGAAGTAGCTTGGAGGTTGTCATAGATAACTGCTGAAAGGAAGTGGATCAGATGTGCAAGTATTCGGAGGGGGGGGAATTCTGTACACTTTCACATCTCTGTATCAAGACTCTTTACAAACGTAATTTGCTAAGTAATTATGATTGACTGGGCATGTTGACAAGAAATCATCTCTTGTCCCCATAAGTTAGGATGGGGGGGACGGACGCATTTAAGATAAAGCCACGCACACCTTTCACTGACAACAAGGAAAGGAGGAGGAAAGACAAGATCCACTCTGGGGAAAGAGAAGATCCACTTCAATCTCCTTCATACCTTTGGGTTCACATTATATAGGATGTATGTCACAATGACTATAAAAAGAACAGATTTTAAATTGTCTTGGGAGGAAACTGGAAAGCAAAATTAGATCTCTGTTTTCGAAACTGGAAGCTTTATTAGTGATATCCTAGTTGGGCTCCATTTTGGTAGACAAGAATGAAGAGGGGGACAGAGGGGGGGTTACACGAGGAATGCTGCCCCCCCCCGAAAAGTGTATGATCTCGATTTTTTCTTTGAGACATGAATCACAGCCTTTTTTTTTTTTTGAAGCAGCAGACATTTATTTATTCATTACAAGGACTCTTCCTGCTCCCCCTTTCAGGCTTGATGATGAAAGCAACACTGAAATGGTAGTGAAGATTGCAGGTGACTACTTTTGCACTGCATGACAAATAGCAGAAGGTGGCGGGGGGGAAGATCTTTGGGCGCACAGTGCAAGATCCCCTTTTAAAACAACACTCCCATACTGTTGCGGTTTGTTTACATTTTCTACAATAACTGCAGTATTAAAAACCTAAGCCAGGGGTCCCCCAGCCTTTTTTGCACCTGTGGGCACCTTAGGAATTGTGACATAGGGAGGTGGGTGTAATGACAAAATGGCTGGCACAGGAGGTAGAGCAAAACGCACAGAAGAAGCCCAATTGCAAGGGAGAAGAGGGCTAATCAGGGGGGGGGGGAAATGCATGAGGAAAGAAGGGTGAGAGGATAAAACAAACACTGTGGTGCCAGCTGCCACGGAAATGTTATTTTAATCAGCCCAGCCAGTCAGATCTTGTGGCAAATCAGAAGCCCTGCTGGGCAGGAGTCCCACCTGGCCCCATCTGGTTTCTAAAAGCATTTGGTGGGTGCCAAGGCAGGTGTCAGCAGGCCCCATGGTGCCCACAGGTACAACACTGGGGGGCCCTGATCAAAACCACTGCTGAGGAAATCCAGTTTCCGATCCAAAGAGGTGCTGCAGAAATAGTTTAAATGTCAGGTGATGAAGCATCACAGGTATATGAGACACTATAATCAAGCACATCATACCACTCAGAACTACTAAATTAACCGTTTGAATTCTTTATGCCACAAACAGCTCTCTTAGAAGAGGCTTGAATTTACTTTCATGCTGAAGGAGGGAGGGAGGGAGGGAGAGCTATGTGCACAGACAATTTCTCCTCAACAGTAACAGCGGAAGCAGGAGAAACAGGGACAGAGCACCTGGGATAATGCTTAGCTTGGAAGGTCTGTGCTTTTTTGGTCCCTCATTACAAGAACAGACTGCATCTGTAAGAACAAATGGAGCCTTTCGGAGACTTTTCTGCTTAAAGTCGACACACGCCCATCACAATTAATAAAGCTTACATCAGTATTAAGACATCTGAGGTAAGCTTTGAAAATATAATAGGTTGCCTACATTAGATTAGTTGGGACTCTGTTCTGGGGAGGGGGGACAAAAAAAACCCCAAGCCTGTACCACTTGTCACCCAAGTAGATTGGTGGCCTCCCAGGGACTGTTATTAAGTCTCCTATTTCTGCTGCACAGCAGCTACTTGACAGACCCATTTTCTGAGGTGGCCAGAAGGTCACAGTATGCAGCTGTGTGGGGCCTGTTTAGCTTGGGGTAGCACAAGTCGGCTAAGCTTACCATAACCAATTTAGAAAAGTAGATTTTCATGTAAATGAGTAAATTAAAAGAACAGTCTTTTCAGGGGTTTGAAAGGGGTATGTGAAGAAAGCTCTGTTTGACATTCAATCCTCTACTGTGAGGATGTGCTACTCCAAACACTAAGTACCAGTCTAAAATAAAATTGAATAATTGGTTGTGTGGTGATTTGTTTAAAGCAGCCTACATATTTTTTGCAGTGCCCCGCATTTATGTAGGCAACTACAAACAGTTAACTGGAGACCAACATGAGCTGTTAAGTGTGAAACAGAATGATTTACTTCAGAGTAATCTTAAATACCTTCATATTAAACACCTTCATATTAAATTCATATATTATCTGAAAGAAAAAGGTTCTGGTTTTTAGTCTGCTGCTTAGCTTCCAAGGGTTCATTGTGCAATGCTGTGTTGTTGTTTTTTTAATGTAAACCGAGTGGCACAAAGGTGCCAAAATTCAGTATAAAATTTGACACCACAGACAAAAGAGTGACAGGGACTTGTCACAGCACCAAAGTAGTAAATATCACATGCAAAGGAGCCCTTTTACTTTACTGTGATACAGTCTGAGACTAGGGATGTGCATATCAAAATTCCAAGGGTAAAAATATATCAGCAAAATGCCTCTCTCTCTTATATCTTTGTATTTATGGAACAATAAAACAGTTATGGAAGTTTTTGCCATTATTGGAAAAACCCACAAAATGTTGGCGTGGAATAGGGATCTTTCTGGGTGTCTGGAGGTGTTTGTACAGTAAATACCCTAGGTTTGCAGGGAAGCCAAGTCCAGTCTCTCCCCTAAAGTGCTCCCAAGTCTGAAGGGGACTGAATAAAGGGGGTCTAATTTTATGGCCCCGGAACAAGTCCCCCGCCATCCTGGTGTCAATTGTTTCCTATTGGGGAAATAGGAGATCTTTTGGGGGTCTGGAGCAGGTAATTTTAGAGCAAATGGCACCAAATTTGCAAGGTACTACATCTTCCCTCTATTTTAAAGACTCATCAAGTTTTAAGGGGATTGGACAAAGGGGTCCGATTTTATGGACCCCTGAACAATTTGTCCCCAGCCAGCCTGGCCTCCCTGGCTCTTATGGGGGAAAATATCAAGCGTTAAGCCTTCAATTTAATCTACCAAAGTAACCTCCAGTCCTCCCCTCACAGGAGCATCCAAAAACTCCACCAGCAAACAAACTAGCACTGAGAAAACTCCCCCCTCAAAGAACATGCCCCCCAAAGAGCAGAGCAACCTCCAAAAGCACCAAACCTTTACAAAGAATCCAAACCAGAGACAGCAAAAAACTAAAAAAAAAAACAACCCCGACAGATAAATACACAAAACAAAAAACCTAAATATGAGATCCCTTCCCAAAGAAGCAAATCAGGAAAACAAAACACTAAATACAGAACCAGAATTGACCCCCACCTCCCAAACACACACACTCCAGCACTAAAATGCCAAAATAAAAAGCCTTGTTAGAAACAGTAAAACAATTAACAAAACCGGGAAAGTCAAACCAGTCGTGACAAGGCTCCCACATTTGTCTCAGGACAGCACAGCAACAACCGGCAGCAAGGCTATAGGAACTCAAGAAAATGGCCGGCTCCGGCCTTGCCAAAGAGGCTTTGTCCTCTCACACTTTTCTAAGGTGGCAGAGCCACCAGGCCTCAGCTGGCAACCCCTGGGAGGAGTTGGGTGGCGGGTCCTGGAGTGCTGGTATTACGCTGATGCACTGATGTTGCTACTGGTAAAAACTGGAAGTGACATCTTTAGAAGCTCTGGCTTTTAGAAGAAATTTTTCTGGAATTGATACAGAAATCCACTGGTGCACTTCTGGCACATGCACCTCCCCATTTCCTCCTACTGGGATAGGGTTGCCAACTTCCAGGTGGTGACTGGAGATTTGGAATTACAATTGGATCTCAAGACTATATAGATAGCTTTTTTGTTATTTATTTATCTGGAACATTTATTCCACTTCTTTTGGAAAAACTAGCTGCTTTGGAAGGAGGACTGTATGGCATTATACCCTACAGTTGCCCCCCAACCCCTTCACCCCAGGCTCTACCCTCAAATCTTCAAGTATTTTTGAGCCCAGAGCTGGCAACCATATACTGGGGCCTGAGGCACTGGTGCTCAATATTGGGAGGCCTCCTGCTATAGTGGGAGACTTGGCATCCCCACCCTATATGGTAAGAGAGTATTTTTCTAACCAGGTTTGGTGCTTTGGTGGTGGTGGTGGGGTGTCTGTGTGTTTGTTTGTTTTTGAGGCAGGGTATCTGTTGCTGTTTGACATTCCTTGGAGGAAGCATGGCATTTTCCCATGCTTCCAGGGGGTCTTAGATCCTTGCAAATGTGGTACCATTTGTTCTAGAAACCACTCACTCCAAACCCCGATTCCAAACCCCGATTATCTTTTTCAAAATGCACACCCCTGTCTAAGACTACACATTCAAGAGACAGCAAAATAATTGGATTTTCAAAATATCTACAGACTGGTTCAAGACTTTAATCAAGAAAGATTCAGTAGCTATTTCAACATTCAAAAACTGACTGTTATTGTGCAGACCTTTGTTTACAAACTACTCTACTTGCTTTTCATTGACAAAAGTTTGCTTTTTATTATAACAAAGTACCTAAGAACTTATGTCAAATTACAGTTTTATGAAGAACTAGAGCATAAACAATTCTTATTAAAAATACTGCACGGAATCAAGTATTTTATTTAAAAGTCCTGAGGTAAAGATGGTCTCCTGTTTCATTTGCACTGTGTCTTTTTATAGTATTTCTGGGCGTTAATCATAATATACTTTCCTGTTTTCCACTTAAACTGGCTCACTATTGCACTTTTCTTAGAAAAAAAATCATCTTAGCACATTAGACCCCGCCCCCCGGGATAAACACTCTAACCACAAGGTGCAAGCCAGCAAGGGATCATGCAATAATACCTACAAATGAACAGGCTGTGCAACTAAAAAGGTGTTTGTTTTAAAGTCGGTGGATTCTATAACAGCTCTTTAGCAACACAAATGTCAGAAATAACAAAAAGACCACCCCCCTGGCAAACACAAAAAAATATTGCAACAGACAGTACCTACAGCCAGGGAGGGGTTGGGGTAGAAATTCATGACTACTTTACTACTCCACCCCACTTCCAGTTCCTACTTTTGTCCTTTTCCTTAGAGCTCTGAGGTTATTTTGACAATCCCACTTCATAACCTAAAAAAAGGTAATTAAGATCTTCTACACACTTTTGGGATTCATAGAGAAATACAGTGGAACACTTTCAAAATCTTAAAAAGACCAGTGTGTCAAGACTGAAAACTGAAATAGCTAAACAACATTTACTCCATTATTTTATTACAGTTGCCGAAGACTACTGGGTCATTGGACTGTAAATAAAGAAGAGATTTCATTACAGTTAGATACAGAAAGTCTTCGTTGTATATGTAAACTATAGCTTAACTGGAAAATCCTCTAAATTTTCAAAAAGTTCAATTTGAGAAATGTCCAGTTTTAAAAATATTAGAGAAACAAATACCCTCTCTAAATATATAAAGAGCAATATCAAACTTAACTATACAATGTTGATCTTGAAAATCTCCCTTCCCTAGCAAAAGGCACTGCATGGCTTAAAGTGTGTGAGTAACATTTTAAAAGAAAATGGTGCAAACAAAGCCTGGTTTTGTGTGTGTGTTTTTTAAAAAAGTCTTTGTTTCTTAGTATTTTACAAAGTATTGCTTTGGATTACATCTGCAGCTGGTTTTTCTGAAGAGTAGAATTCTAATCAGTCCACAGAATTGCAAATCTCTTTTATTTTCTCGTTGAAATCTTCAGGTTGATCAGCATATACATAATGACCCGCACCGAGAATAACCTATAAAAGAGGTAAGGGGGGAAAACCCATTAGTGTAACAAAGTCTATTTAAAGGTTTACTTGCAAGAAGACTGAACAAATACAATGGCACAAAATAATTCAAATTTGTTATTTTGGCAACAGTCTTGACAAAATGAGGGTCAAAACTGCCCAAAGGCAAGTTGTTGCATGTTCATCTTAACCACTAAAAATATGCACAGCACATAGATCAGTTCACAGTGACCCAATCTTACAATGAAATCTTTTACTCATCATATAGATATAGCTGTTTACAAAAGCAAAATGCTTTTAGGTTGCCAAGTAAGCAAATCTTTGCCAACCACAGTAAGCAAATCTTTGCCAACCACATTCTTCTATCTGTTGAATGGTGTGCTTATCAACAGATTAGCATGGTGCCATTATGCCATTTTTGGGTTTGGAAAGTCTTTGCCAAAATCATACAGCCACATGACTGTGCCGGTGTGTGCTGCAAGACGACTCCAGCGATTAGCGCTTCACTACATACTGACAGAGAGGTCTTCGTTATGTGAGCAAAACTTGTCTTAAGCAATCACACTGGTTTACTTCGAATTGATTTACTAAGTACAGGACGGACCTAAGTGATCTAAGTTTGAGTCCAGTGGTACCTTTAAGACTGACAAAAATTTTATTCAAGGTATAAGCTTCTGTGTGCTTCTTTCTGAAGAAGTATGCCTTGCACATGAAAGCTCATATCTTGAATAAAACGTTGTTGGTCTTAAAGGTGCCCCGCTGGACTCAAACTTTGTTCTGCTGCTTTAGACCGACACAGCTACCTCACCTGAACCTAAGTGATCTAAGACATCTAAAATATAAAATGCTAGCTGGCAAAAAAAAAAATTGAAATTATTCTTAAAATCAATAAACATGAGATAAGTTTTATTTTATCCTAAAGACATCATGAGCATTCAATTAGTTTGGCACAGGAAGCAGGATAATTTATAGGAGTGACTTGGTTGTTTTTTTTTTAAGGGAGTTTTTTTTAAAACAACTTTTATTAGGATAATACACATTTCATATATATATCAACTTCAACATATATATCCTTTTCTTCTAACTCCCCCCCCTTTTGTAGGCTTCCAACAGCGTTTCCACCTCCAGCTCAAATCTTGAAAAAACATACCTGTTTCTAATCTATTATCGTTATGTCTATAGGTAACATATATTCATTTATTTATCATTATACGTCCCATCTTTTTCTTTTTAAACAAACTTAATAATTCTCAAAGCAAATCAGATTGCCCTTCACATCCCAATACTTCTCTAAAAAGTCTTTAAAATCTTTCCAGTCCGCAAAAAATTCTTCAGCCTCCAAATTTTTAAGTTTTCTTGTCATTTTGTCCATTTCGACCATGAAAAGCAGTTTTTTAATCCATTCTTCTACATCTGGGATTCTGTCTAATTTCCAATTCTGAGCATAGATTATTCTAGCTGCTGTTATCATATACCACAATAATGTCCTTTTCTTGGTAACTTTTTTTTTTTTTAAGGGAGTTCTGAATCCCTGGTGGTGATGACCGTCCATGGAAAAAAACACTCACCCTTTGTCCAGTTTGGCTTCCTACATGCACACACCTCTTTGGTGTTCATCCTCAACCTCATAAAACCACATTACTTAGTAAAACTGAACAGATTGACCACCTTTGATCAACAATTTCCTGAAAACTCATTATAAAATGTTGCATTTTGGACACAGTGGGGTAGATCCAGCCATCCTCCAAGTAACCTTCCTCCAGCCTAAAGAGCCTTCCTTTAATGTACGTGGCTCTTCATCCAATGGAAAAGCCACTCAAGTTGAAGGAAAACTTCAAACTTAAACCAAAAGGAAAGGTGTTGTTGTTGTTCACCAAGTAACCTTCCTCCAGCCTAAAGAGCCTTCTTTTAATGTACGTGGCTCTTCATCCAATGGAAAAGTCACTCAAGTTGAAGGAAAACTTAAAGCTTAAACCAAAAGGAAAGGTGTTGTTGTTGTTCAGTCGCACAGTCGAGTCCGACTCTTCGCGACCCCATGGACCAGCTCCCGCCAGGCCCTCCTGTCTTCCGCTGTCCTCTGAAGTTTGCTCAGTTTCATGTTCGTTGCATCGATGACACTGTCCAACCATCTCATCCTTTGCCGTCCCCGTCTTCTTTGACCTTCAATCTTTCCCAGCATCAGGGTCTTCTCCAGTGAGTGCTCCCTTCTCATTTGGTGGCCAAAGTATTTTAACAAATAAATTTTGCTCAGTGGAGCGGAGTGGTAGGATAGAGATAGGATTTACCACAGTCTGAAAAGGGGCAGTATACAAATACAAGACTGTGAATGAGCCATCTTAGGGCTGCCAACCTCCAGGTGGCACCTGAAGATCTCCCACTGTTACAACTGATCTTCAAACAATCAAGATCAGTTCCCCTGGAGAAAATGGCTCCTTTGGAAGATGGACTAATAGTTATAATAAATAGTTATCATATGGCATTGTGTGTAGTATAGCCAGGAGATCCTAAGATTGTCAGGCAGCCTTACATTGTAGCTCCTAGGAAGATGGGACTACATGGCACTAGACTAGAGCATGCTGAGGTCCCTCCCCTCCCCAAATCCTGCCCTCTCCAGACTCCTCCCCCCGCAAAATCTCCAGGTATTTCCCAACCCAGACTTGGCAACCCTACCCATCCTGCACTTACACAAATGGCTACCACAAAATTCATTTGTCTGAAATTTCAACATTCTGTCATCTGATTTACATGGATTACTCTCCTCCCAAAATGAAGATCTACAGAAAGTATTTGAAGGGTGGGAACAGCATGACAATGACCTGATATGCAAGCATTCCTGAGGTATGTTAACCTGGAAGACATATTCTTGCCAGACTTGATTACAGAGGGCCAAGCAGCAGTTCAAGTACATTGCCAGAGAGCTGCCACAGCATTTCATAATGGATGTCAACAGGTCAGGAACGGAATTCTTAGTCAAGAAGAACGTAGGCCCCCATAGACAATTAGGCCAATCTACGATATTTCAGACTAGTACAATAAGCCACAAGCACAGAACAAGAACTAGAAATAACTGCAGAGCCAGTAACTCTGTCACCTAATGGCATGTGCATTAGAATAATTTCTACTTTATTCTGTTAACCAAGCACAAATAAAAGGTCAAATGGGACCACAAGATATCAACAACAACTAGGCTGGCTAGGCAAACCCTTCAAAATAATAGGCCTGCCCTGAATTCCACACCCCCTAACAGACAAGTGCATTGCTATGTATAACTGCAGCCTTGGAAAAGGTAGATTATCCCATGGCTTTGAGTCAAAACAACCAGAAGTTTCTGCCTTATTTCTAACAAGCATGAATTCAGCCGGATAATTAGAAGAGCTGGAAACATGTGAGGTGGTCTTCCAAACAAGAGCTACAATAGCTTTTAACTTCCTGTTTATACCAGATAGATGCTGGATGGGAAATACTACACCAAGACATCGTTATGGATTTTATTCTGACAGCTTCTGAGCCTGTAGCAGCATCCATACCAAACTCTCTGGTGAAAGTTCTGATGGGTGGATCTTACTGCACAGAGTACATGTCAAGATACTTGTCAACATCCAAACCACTGGCACTTAGAACAAGTACAGGTAATACAAGGCCAAACTGGACAGTGTGAATAGCTAGCTAAAGCAAAATCCAGGATCTTAGGTGAACCGAAAATAATTGGAAGGATATCCATTTACATCATAAGCCATCTTCAAACTGCAGCTACTCTTTGGGAAGGTTAACTCCTCTGACAGTTCATTTTCTTGTACATCTGAGGTCATGTTCAGCAATAGGAGGTCATGTTCTGCCATTCTTGCTGAAATCAAGAGTCACAACAACCAGAACACCTCCAAAATCTTTGTACTGAAACAGGACTCCAGACTGGTTGTCTGAAACCCCCATAAGCATATCTCCTGACCTCAGTCTCTTGATTAAGTGAGCCAGCTACATCCTCAACAGCTTTCTGGATGAAAAATGGAGACCTCCTTCTCAAAACTTCATCAGTAGCAGAATGTGTGTTATGCTTTTGGTTCTTGTAGAGTATCTGGAGTCCAGGACAGTTTTCTAGCCCTGGAGTTTTGTTTTGAGTTTGGTTGTGTTTATTTTTACTTTACAAAGTACATAACCTGCCAGTGAGGCAAAGGACCCTGTTTCCTCCCAAGGGTTAGAATATTAGTAGGTTTAGTCCTGGCATGATCTGGTCCATGGGGTCACGAAGAGTCGGACTTGACTGTGCGACTGAACAACAACAAAGGTCTAGTCCAGCTCGCAAGTGTCCATAACTAGGCCTCCCTGCCTATACCATCATCTCTTTCAAGGCTGGATTCAGGAATGTGGTAACTGACTCATCATGAGAACTTGTGGTCAACTAGATGGGAGGGGGGAGACAGGAGCGATGTCGTAATCTTCTACAGGGTTCCAGTTTGCAAGTGCCCTGATTGGATCTGAAGGACCACCTGACGCCAGATGGCAAAAGACTATAAATAAGCCATAGACAAGAGGGAAGCCATGCTAACTTTGTGATTCTACAGGACAGTGGCTCTGACTTTGCCAAGCCCCACTGTGATGGACAGGTACATAGATAACGCTTGAGCCTCTAGCTTAAACGTGATATTTAAATGGTGTGCCATCTAATACCAGGTGCTGGAGTATTAGATAGAAAAGCCAGCTTTCTTCTTTTCTTGCTGCAAGACTGTAGAGACTGTGTTGCCTAGTATTATCTTATTCTTTAAATACATAACAAACCTTCACATATTTTACCAAGGTCTGGTTTCTTGTGTACACAGAGCAGTGAGAATCCACATCTCTAAGTGCTGCCTGCTTGCCCAAGGGGTAACCAGAGGGACCCAGGCTTGGATCCTTGACACTGCCTTCCTGCCCTTATAAGAACCACCAAGGTGGGTAACAAATTCAAATGTAAGATAATAATATAATCATTAATCAATTAAAACCACAGCTAAAACACATAAAGAACAACTGAACATTGGGCAGGAAGGAGGGATCACTGATGGAACCGCATACAAAGGAGGACCTTTGCTGGGCGGGCCCCTCAGCACGAGCAAGAACCCATGGGACAATGGAAATTCTGAATAAATCTCAATGCTGACAAGCATTATTTTTCATATGAAAAGCAGGGAAATATCAGTGCTCAAGAAATCTTTAAGGTAGTGGTCCCCAAACGTTTTGAGCCCGCAGGCACCTTTGGAATTCCGACAAGTGTGGTAGGCACAGCTATAAAATGGCTGCCACAAAACAACTGCCTCAGGAAGCTATATAAACGGCTGCCACAGCTTACCTTCCGTCACACAGTGAAGATCCTTGTGCTGTGCTGTGGTGACAACTGCTGTCAAAGCAATGTTTCTAAAAGTCTGTACAGTCAATCAAATCTCTAATGACCAATCACAAACCCTCTTGGACAAAAGTCCCACCTGGCCCCACCCACATCCTAAGAACACTTGGTGGGTGTCAGGAAAGGTCCTGGCAGTTGCCACGGTGCCCATGGGCACAATTTTGGGGAGCCCTGCTTTAAGGGAACTCTCCCACTCCTGCCAAGGATCTTATTTCACGTACTCTTAAAACTAACAGTATAACTGACAGTATAAAGGTAAGGCAATTTATACTAAAAATCAATCTAATAACTGAACACCCTACTTACTATGGTTTTCACATATGAGTTTGGCCGTAGAGACTGGATGGTGGTCCCAGAATTGCCGTCTATACATGACCGTGCTCCATAAATCACAGTGATAGGAATGTCTTGGTGCATGTAGGCAATCCGCTGCAGCATTGGCCTTTTTGCCCATCCGTATGGCACGGTCATGTTCCTGAAAGCAGTTTCACCACTTTAAAGGTAAAAATGGAAGAAAAGGAGTGAAAAAACCTGTATTTCTGAAATCTGTTTCTCCAATATCTGACCGGCAGTGCTTTTAAACTGGAATTATACTTGCCGATCCAAACACTAACTTAGTCTTACACAAAAAATGAACTCAAAAAGTTTAAGAAAAATGCCCTATTTGTATATTCTACTGCAAAATTGTATCTCATATCTGCTTAATTCTGACTCATGAATACTATGTCAACCGAAAGAGCCTTACACATTTCTAGAAGATATTTGTGATGAGATTTTGACCTGTCACTAGGGAAAGTGCATTTTATCTTTGCAGAGCAGCCATTAAGAATGCTCTGTTTTTGCCATCCAGCCTGGTTCACTGAAAGAAGAGTCCAGAAGGGATTTTCAGCTGATCAGAGGCTAGACAGTAATCAGTAATGCCTATTCTGTGAATTTAGGCAGATCATGAAAGGGAGGGCAGGAAGGGTTGCATCAGTCTGTAGTTCTCATGGCCCTTTCTTACATGCCCAGGGAAATGCTGATCGCCAGTTTGGGGTCAGGAAGCAATTTTCTCCAGGCCAGTTTGGCCAGGGATCCTGGAAGGGTTTTTTGCCATCTTCTGGGTCACTGGGAGTGTGTATATGGGTAGCTGTCACTTTCCTGCATCATGCAAGGGGTTGGACTAGATGACCCTGGAGGTACCTCCCAACTCTATGATTGTATTATTTGAAAGGTCTTGAAAGAAAATTGACAGAATGTCCCTGCAGGATCCCAAACCATTAAGGGTTTTAACAAACCAATATTTTACAACTACAAGCATTTTATCCAGAATTTCTATTGAATGCTGCCAAATTGTATGATCATTTTTGCCAAATCCACCAATTTTTGGTAATCTTTCTGATTCAAAGAACCTAATTCTTTAGCCAAAGATCAAATCAAGTTCTGAACTAAATTAATTCAAAATTAGGGCTGCTAGTTCGTTATGTGCATGATACTTAAAGTGATTTTATGTTGTGCTTAACACAATGAAAAAAAGTAGTGATTAGGGATTTCAGTGACAAATTAATAAATTTAAATACTTAACACAGTTTTGCAGACTTTAAATTTACCTTGGTGACTGCACATTGCAATGGTAGATATATTCAGTCACAGTGTCATCATCAAACATGGAAGAATACTTTCTCTTGAAATCTGGCCTAATACGCTGTACAAGGCTCAGTCCTGTCATAAATCAAGAAGAGAACAGTTTTAAAACTGTTCAAAGTACCCATTAACAGTATTTCGCAGCCATTTTCAGTGGCTGAGTTAATTAGTTTAAGTGCACATATCATAATTTTAGACAGGAAACAGAATGCAAGAGGCAATGCCTTGACAGCTAAGAATGCACCCATAACATACATACATAGTGCATAGGGTTGCCAGACCCCTTGTTCCGGGCAGGGGTCTCCTGCTTTCAGGCACTCCTCTCCCCCCCCCCCCCCCCCCCAAATTACCTCGTTTACTGTGTTACTGTGAAGATTTCATGAATGCATTGCTTTATTTCCTTAGGGAAACCAAGTTGCAAGAACAAGTATCGTGGATGTACATTGGGATTTAAATGTCTACTTTGTTTAGGGAAAAATGTTTAGTTTAATAAATGGACTCCCACAATGCCTTTGGGACCAAGGGGGGGGGAGTTCTCTTCTTAATATGCAAAATATCCCCTTCCTTTCTGGCTAGACCTCCCCATGTCTAGATTGGTTGGGAACAGGGAAGCTTTACACGGAGATTCCCGAAGTGAAGATCGGATGTTTTCGTGCCTTTCCGCTGATGACGTTTGAAGAATGGAAGACCCGAAGATTTTCAACTGAGTTTTATTGTAAAAAAACCCCACTTCATTTGATCAAAAGGTAAGATAGGCGAGTTGCGCCTGCCGGCGTCTCTAACCCCTTTCCCTTTCTTCTCCCCACAGACGCCGCCAGCAAGCTCTCCCTCTTACTGGACCGTCCCAGGGACTGGTCAATTTTTGGAGGAACCTTTTTTTAAAGGTTCTTATATTGCGTAATACTTGTAAAGTCTGAAAGTAGTAACGTTAACTAGTCTCTGTAACAAACCCACCAATTACTGAATGTGTGCGTATATATCATTTTGTTGTTGTTGTTATAATAAAATTGGGGGGGGGGGGGGGGGGGGAAACAAAGGAATGAGCCTCCATCTGCGTGGAGGAAACCAAACCAGCTCTCATTCTCCCTCCCCCCTGTTGCTGCCAATAACTGCTATGTGCATACGTAACCTAGAAGTGACGGGGACGTTGGACACTCTGATTTTGGGGCAAAACTCTATTATTTGTAGCTAATTTTACCATAGAGTTTTGCCCAAAAAACAGAATGCCGCCACCCAATGTCCCCAACGTCTTCCTGATGACGTAAGCACATTGCAGTGCTCCTCCCCGCTCCTGAAAAGTTCCCTCCCATCCCCCACTGGCACGCTGTTGGGACCTTGCAACCCTAACAGTGCATGACAGCTCCTTCCCTTTAGAGGCACTCTTATTTCTATTCAGCACTAAGCTTACAGGTAACTCAGGACCTGCATGAACTCTCTCTACTGGATTCTGGCTCTATTTAATTAAGACTGTGGTGCACAAAGGATAGAGAAAGCAACTGGCATATGAATAAAGTTTATTACACAGAGCCAGATTATCAGTTCATCTAGCACAGCCCAGTCGACTGTTACTGGCAGCAACCCTCCAGGGTCTCAGAGAAAGGGTTTCTCTACCCAAACACCCACTGCTCTTTAACTGGAGATGCCAGGCAACTGAGCCTGAGGCCTTCTGCTTACAAAGCATGTGCTCTACCACTGAGCTAGGGCCCTTCTGCAACACAAGGAGGTATGGCTAGATACTCATATATTTAAAAAGTGTGCGTCTATTGCTTACCTGAGTTTCTGATTTAAGAATGCTATCCCAACTTTTTTTGTAGCATTGGTGAGCATGACACCTCTTTCCCACCTTTCTGGTTAGGAGGTGCCTACTGCTTAAACTGATTTTGCTTTCTTTCCAAACATACACCTAAAGTCTACCACCGGCCATGGGTTCTGAAGCTCAAACAGTGTAATCAGGTTCCTTAAAAGAGCAACACTATTAAACTGACAGGCACTCACCGAAAGGTCCTGCTATCCTGAGACCAGCCAATGGGTTAAACGGACTCAAAACGGCTCCAAGTGCTTTGATCCAGACTGGAATTGATCTTTCCTGTTCAGCATTGCTGGGTCTTTCTGGAAAACCCCATGGCTCCACTAATATAAGATGCTTCACCCTTGTAGGTACAAATGTCAGAGGCTGTGTCAACAGGACAACTTAAAACAATGCCCACTATATTCCAGAGTCAACATTACTTATTTTTTTCTCTTTCAGAAGCCATCTCTGCCCATTACATCAAAGCAGGGTTAGTCTTAATGATTCTAGGGCCTTGGGCAGAAGTCCAAGTCAGGCCCCCAGAATACTGCCACCACCCCAGCACCCATCCTTGCTGGGGCAAAGCAAGTGGTAGGCCTTGCCCTGTGCAACGTGGGAAGGAGCTGTCATTACTGTGACAAGCCACATGGAGAGGGCACAAGCAGCAGCAGGAGCCTGCACTTCTTTCCCCCATCTTTCAGAGGGGCAGGGCTACAAGTTGTCGCCCCTCCAACCCCCAGCATGGGACCCAGGGCAGCCGCTCCTGTTACCCATTGGCTAAGACTTCCCCTGCGTCAAAGACACACTGGAAGACTCTGGGGCGGGAAATACCATATAAATTGTAGTATGCAATTGACACCTGAAGACATGCAATTCAAAGAAAGTGCAATTTATAATTTAGTTTTGCGACTAGCCAATGTATTCTTATTAGAGAAGGATGAAAATAGCCTTTTGGTGCTACATTTGAAGGTTAGAGAGATTATTCCTCCAAATTATACTGTGCCATGCTGCACTTGTTTACAAAAGCTAAAGTATATTTATAGCTTTGATACAACAGAACTTCCCTTTATGTACTATTTTCAGATACCTTGAGGGGTACTTCAGAGAGTAAGCAGCTGCCAGGAATCCACCCAGGTTGTGTCCAAGTAAAATCATTCTGTCCAAGCCTATTTTCTGTCGCCATTCTTCAATAGATTCCACAAATTGATTCTCTGCTAGTTCTGCATCAGTTTCAAACTGTGGCCTACTACTACGTCCAAATCCCAAGAAATCAAAGGCATAAACAGTTCTATTTTCACAAAGGTCTTCAAAGTTCAGAGCCCAAAGTCCAACACCTCCTCCAAACCCATGGAGGAGAACAAGTGGAGTTTTATGGGAAAGGTTCTGAGAGAATGTTAGCGTCCATATTTTATTTCCATTGGATATGAAGACATATTGCTTATGATATGGACTTTTGATACCTGAAGAAAGAGAGAATAAGACTTATATCTTATTATTCCAACAATGACATCTGACCGTCAATTCTAGGTATAACAGATTATGGCAAATCCACAGAACAGTGACCTCCATTCCCATTATGTGCAATAAGGTACCCACCAAAAAGGGCAGGAAGCGGGTCCTTTAACAAGAGTCACAATTACATTGTGAAGCGTAGGCATTCATATGCAGGCTGCATGTGGCCTGTGCACAACTTGCAGCATGTGACAGGAATAGCTCCCTTGTGGATTTGCTGAACATATATAATCAAGTTGTTGAAAAACAAAATCCCATAAAACTAGGTACTTCAGAATCTCACGATAAAAGAACCTAAGTTATTTCAATAGCTTTTAACAACAGTATGCATTTGCTGTTGTCTTGAGATGGACTGACTCAATCAAGGAAACCCCACCCTTCAGTTTGAAAGCCCTGAGAATGGCTGTTAATGATAGGATGTTTTGGAGGACATTAATTCATAGGGTCACCAGAAGTCGGAAGCAACTTGATGGCACTTAACACAGCAGCAGACAATATTTCTGTTATGCAAGGAATTTTCACGTGTAGCAAAAGAATTAACTTAAAGAGAGGTAAAACGGGATGGAGACTGGGGGCAATTGTTGGGAAGTGCCACAATGTAGGATTCACTCTGGACTAGTCACACAAAAGATAGTACCTCTGAAGGCCAATTTACACAGGCAACAGTGGACTTTGTCGGTTGGAACACAAGCCTGGTAAACTGGCCCTAAAAGCAGCTGGTGGCAAAGGACGTCAACACACAATCTACACTGGGGCTGTTGTCCAATTTCCACAATTGACAATGCACCCCCACCCCAGGTTGCACTGAATAGTGGTAGGGGAAAAAAAAAGACAAATATCAGTACTGTGCCTGATTTTTCCTACTGGGACTTGCACTGTATTTCTGAGCAGCATGTATGTGTGCACATTCACGTATGTGTGTGGGGGGAGTAACACCCAGCCCTATGGCCATAAGCCAGATCATTCACATGATTACTTTTTAAGGACCAAATTAAGGTCCAGACAAGGAGCATGAGCTTCAGATGTACCCAAGTCAGGTTGTGGTCATCTGAATACAGGATCTTCCTCCCCCCAGCTTCCTGATTAGAAGCCCACATTCTTTCTAGGATCCAGCTGTATGGTTAAGATGTTACATTCAAACAGGCTAAAGCCAATTCATTCCTTACTGAATCTCTGCTTGTGAGAAAGGAAAGAATATGTGAATCTCTGGTTGAGATTTCTTAACAAAAAAGATTGTACAGATGCTTGGGAGGAGAGTAATAACATGTTGAGCAACACATGCCATATAATAAATCTCCTGGTAGAAATAATCAGCAGCAGAATTATTTCATATTTTACAAGGCAGGCAGTGTGTGCACACAAGATACAGATTACCAAAGCTGGTTTTTAAATCCAGTTTCAGATAAAAACGCCAAACTACAAAAAATTAGAAGTCAGCATTTGCTACAGGTTTAATGAAGTATAAAGATGAGTTAAAACTGCAGAGTGCTAGATAGGTCCAATTTATTCTGTCCTATGAAGAACAAGAATAATCTTCGCTAACTGCTGTTCATGAGATCCAGCAATCAATAATTTACCCAGTAAAGCATATGCCTTGTTCAAGGGACATTTCCCATTAAGGCTTCACTTCTGGGCTTTTTCCTAGAAAAAAAAAGTTAGTACCTCAATAGAGAGGTACAGCTTTCCTACAACATAAGTCACAATCAGTGTTCCTTCTAAGCTGAGTTAGTGTGAGCTAGCTCACAGTTTTTTAGCCTCCAACTCACACATTTTTGTCAGGAAGGATGGCTCCAGAGCAAACTAATTTATGCAGTAGCCAAACCGCTTGCTCACAACTTTAATGCCAGTAGCTCACAAAGTAGAATTTTTGCTCACAAGACTCTACAGCTTAGAGGGAGCATTGCTCACAATATCTGTCCGGACTTCACTCCACTATGAATAGATCTCCTGGGGAGTGGGGTACTTGTCTGCAATAAATTTACTTACAGATAGGTTCTCTATAGCTTACTCCTTGAACTAGTATATTTGTAACTCAACATATTTCTTGTCCTCCATTGCTCCTCAGCACATTTGTCGACTGTACACCCCAAATCAGCAAAAATACTGCAAACCACCTCCACCATAAAAGGTAATGGTGCAGCAGACATACTTTAGTTCTATGTAAGAAAAAGCAGTGACATTATACTGAAAATAAAATCTGATTCTCTGTAATTGCTTACATTTCAGCATTTTCTCTTCAGCTTCTTTAAGCTGTACCACTGACGTAGGACACCACGCAGGCAACCAACTGGACACGGACAGCCAGCCTGATCTACAGCAATAAGAATGAAAACATTGTGATTTATAGAACTGCAGAGTTTTATAAGCAAAGGATGTACTTCCACCACATCTAAACAAGTGCTTCTAATGCTGTACTGGATAAAGAACCTCTACCCTGCTTCTTACAAATAGCAAGAGTGGTGATTATTCTTAAATCCAAGACCTAACATGGAGCCTAAATGTAAAAAAAAAAATTATAGTGGTGCTAAAATAAACTCAAATTAAATACAATCATCGTCAGTCACATTAATACATATCAGATGAGCATTATGCGTCATAGACATACATCCAACTCACCACTAAATATAGTAAGTAGCCAGGAGGTACAGTGTTATTAGATGCTGAAAGGGCTTTTGATTGTTTAGGAGAGAAATTTATGAAAGATATTGCTAAATATGAAGCTGGGATATTGATTTATAACAGTGGTGTATATATTATCTAACTCTTCAATAGCACTCATAAGACATACAAGGAACAATACAAAGATGCCAGCTATGTCCTTAGCAATATCTATTAGAAACAATAACAAAGTTAAAGGAATGGAGAGGAGTGAATGTGAGCATAAAAATAACTTTTCAGATGATAGCCACCCTTCCTGCAAATCCCTGATAATCCATAAAGGAAATTCAAGTGGAACTGAAAGCTTTTTTTTTTTTAAGTTTATTTATTTGGTTTTCAAAATAATATATACTTATAACATTTCTTTTGGATATAAACAAAAATATACACATAAGCTGGAAATACTTTTTCCCCCAAAAAATATAATCCAATAATTCTTATTTGAGTACCAGGATCAAGTATCAGCACATTAATACATAGATCTTTAGTTTACTTGTTTGTTCATGTTAGTTTTTACCACATCCATTCTGACAGTAATCATAGCACTTTGTCAAATGTAACCATCCAGAGCCAAAACATGTCCTTTCACAGCTAGGTTCTAACATAGCACAAATACTCAAATTAACCATAAGGTACCAAATCAATTAACAATATTTAAGTACAAGGATCAAGCATTAGCAAATTAATACATAATTCTTTAATTTTCTTGTTTTCTTGTTTGTTCATATTAGTTTTTACAATTTGCCACCTCCCTTCTAACAATAATTATGAGACATTGTCAAGTATGACCATCTAAAACCAACACATGTCTTTTCAGGGTTAAGTTCTAACAAAGCATACATACTCCAATTAACCATAAGGTACCTGTTTCCAATATAAGTATAAATTATCAATTTAATTTTTATAACTTTTAGATTTTCCAATTATTTTTTTAAATTTTTTAACATTTTAAATTTACTACTATATTTGCATCCAAACATTCTCTACTAAACTTTTATACCATTACAAAATCAATTGACTTTTCAGAGTGGTATCAGATTAATATCCACACCTCCTTTACCATATTTTCCTATCTTTAATCACTGCAAAACTAATACAGTACCCTCTTAACACCCCACTATATCATTCTACTTTTTATTTTTAATTAAAGTTTCCAAAGTCAGTATTTCCATTTAAACAGACATCCAAAGGAGGTAGACAAACAAAGAAAAGGATACAACTTGATTTTCTGCCTGTGGATCATCAGTCTGTTCTTCTGTAACAATCTGTCTAAATGTTTTTGATCTTTCCATGTGTGATAATCTCTTTCCAAGGTGTTCCTTTTCCTTCTCAACCAATCAAACGTCCATAAAGTATTCCATATGCCATCTCTCATTTTTGGCTTTCCTAATACATTTGCAAAAGCTTCTCATTATCTTCATAAATTGCTCTACTGTAATCTCTCCACTAGAGTGTTCTCGTTAATTTCCTCCTCCTCCTCTTCTACCATAGAAACCATTTTAATTGTCGTTTTAAATTGACTTTCAAGTTTTAACAGTCCTTCCATTCCAAGGAGATAAAAGGACAAACAAACCATTTTCTTTTAACTATTATCTCCCAATGTTCTCAAATATCCTTGCTCCTAAGGAGAAGCCAAAACATTCCCCGGAGAAAGATAAATAAACATCCACAAGCCTTTCATCTGCTCCAACACGCTCTCTGGCCGCTCTTCTTTTCCATTCTGCAAACTTATACTCCGGGCTCAAGCCATATTTTTATATAGATAGAGGTACTCACAGTTCCTTTTCTCATATTTCCTCCTTTTAGGTTGCTGTTATCTTTGTAGTCCACACAAGTTAAAATAAAAGACGGATGGCAGCGGCTATGTGAAACATAGAGAACCATGCTTCACTCCACAAGCTGCTCCTGCGTCGGGGCACATAGTGGACACCCCCACCCCGCCTTGCCAGTTGCGGGGGGGGGGGAGAATTAAAGCTCCCTGCTCCAGACTTCTCTCCAGGAAATCTGGCAGAGCTCCCCCGGCAACCGGGAGACTCTGAAGTGAGCAACAAGGGATTGGGGGGCTCAGAGCACGCTGAGAACCACCTGTCGCCACGCCGTTTCCTCCTGGAACTGAAAGCTTTGATTTTAAGAAGCCAGAGCCTTTATATATCAGGCTGGACAACTGAAAAATAAGGAATCACAATTCGCAGGAGTGAAAATAGCATGGAAATGTGTATGGGTTAACATTACAGTTGACTATCAAGATTTCTATAAGAATAATTTGGTATTCATAATAAACGAAGTTAAAAAAAAGAGAAGGTCTTGGGAGTGGAAAGAACGGGATCTTTTGGTATGGAAACATTTCTGTGGTCAAAATATTATGTAAAGAATGATGAGTAGCTCACAAAATGACAGATCCTGGTGATCTGTAGCACAGGTATGGGCATTCCACAATAATGTGAAGTGCCTACACACCTGGGCCAAGTTGTCAAGACACCGCCACAGATGTTTTTCTGATGAATACCGATGTTGGCTTCAGAACAGAGTAACCATCACCTGAGTAGCTCTTGGTAAGAGGAAGCGTTCTCAGACTTTTTCTTTGTTCTCATGTTATAAGTGTAAACAAACCTATGAAACAGGGCAGTTTTGAGCCAACTGCCAATAGCATAAATATGCTGTACCAGAGAACAGCCTGACAGCCATTCATGACCGCGCAACTGATTAGTTGCAGAACTTGTGCATACACACTGTTCGTCATTTTAACCACTCCTATTAGACAACTGTAGAGCTTTAGACAACTGTAGAGCTTTAGACAACTGTAGAGCTTTTGCCAGTAAGGACCTCTGTCTTAATGAAAATTTATACACTTTATTTATTTCTCAAACTAATTTGATCCTCCCTCCTGTGCCTTGAGAATTCATGCATAAAGCTCTTAAGCTAATAGCTCTGTGAGGTAAGAGTAAGGCCAGGATCCAAAAAGCCCCAAATGTACATGAAAAGCATTTCCGTATGTGGTATCTGCATGCATCCAATTCTCCCCGTCCACTGGTTGCATCTTCCTGTGCCACATGGTACACTTCTTCACAGCAACTGAGGGAAAGCATGGGGGACTGCATAAGGAAGGGGACAGGGTATGGAAAAGCTCTGGTAACATACTGAACAGACATGCAACCCTCCAGTTCCCAGCCAACAAATCCTAGTGTTTACCTGAAAATATGTAAGGCAGAATTAGCAAGTTTTCATACACACTTTATACAGTGAGCAGCTGCAGTATCTGTCAATGGGATCTTGCTGTGCAAACTCTCCCAAACAACTCTGCCCAGCCTGTAGAGCACTTTCACAACAGATTAAGTTATTTTGTGTGTTGACGCATGTTATGACAATGCTATTAAATGACTGCTTGTCCCAGTTGCTACATTAATAATTATGCTACACAAGAAGCAACTGTGATCCTATTAACGAAATGTTGATTTCTACGCAAGAGACTTAGCTTTGTCATGGATAAGCACATTTCCCACGGGAGAGAAAGGGGGGGGGAGAGTAAAAGTTTAAATGCTATATAATCCAATAAGCAATTGTGGGGTAGGGTTTATGACCTGCCCATATCCAACAGACCTGAACATTCACATTAAAGAAAAGAAAGCATCTTAGGTCCCGTTCACACGAGGGGATTTGGGCCAGTAGCGGGACGGTTCGGGGGCGGAGCAAATGGCCGCGATCACACCACAACATCTGGGAAGCGTAGTGCTTCCGTCCCCGAACTGGCCCATCCACGCGATAAACCGCTCCAAGTTGGAACCACCTACCGAGGTGGTTCATCCCAATGGTGCGCCGCAAACCGGGAGTCTGATCGCCGGCGCATCCTTGCGCCGGCGCGTCCCTGGCTCCTAGGCGAACTGCGCATGCTCCGACATGCGCAGTTCGGCTGGCTCGCCATCCGATCTATGTTTTCTCCCCGGCGTCTGATCGTGCCGGGGAGAAAGGCGGCGCGGCCAGGGGATCCGTGGGATCCCGCCGCGCCGTTTCAACTTTGGCGCGGCTTTTAAAAGCCACGCTTTTTGGCGGCTTTTCCCCTGCCGTGTGGCAGGGGCCATTGAAACCCTAATCTCAAACCATTTCCTTACTTGGTTCAATAGGCTGATTAGCTCATCTTTAAGATAGTCTGCCAATGTTGTTCAGCTGGAAAGAATGAATTTGTACCACTTTTGTAGCAGACAGAACAGAGACCACCAACAAGGTGTCTGGGAACACCAGGGTATCTGCCGCTGTATCTTCTGGGAGCTTCCTGAGACTTGGGGATAAAATCTGAAGGGTCTTCAATGGAAGAGGGGTAAAACAACCAGCTGACTGACTGGCTAGCAAAGCACTGAGCTAATTACCGCTGCTCTCCCTTGGCTGGTCACAGGCAGACACAGACTTAATGTCTCTGGGCTTGCAAACTCCATGCTGTGGGTATGCAGAGAAGAAACTGGAAATAAACAGTATCTCTTCCCCAGAGAGGCAGACTAGCCATTTAAATTACAGGACAATTTCCTGCTGGACTGCTATCCTGATGGGCTGATGACAGCCAGAAGCAAGCAGAGCTGAAGTCCCAGCAACTCTGCAAGCACCCCGGGGGCAGCTTGGGGTGCACCCTTCAGTGGCAATGATGACTGCTGTCAGCTAACCAAC